GGCTTAGCCCCCCAGCAGTGATCAGTAAGTAATAACTCCACACCCATCCTTTTTATTGGGCAAGACAAAGTAAGTCACCCAAGATTGAATAGACATGGGTGAGTTGTAATCTACATTAAAGATCTCATTAAACTCTATTATATATTGTGGACCAGAAAGGTCCACTTTTGGGTCTCAGATCAATCTACCTGGAGATAAACTTAGCTTAAACTACCTCAGGGATGCTCAATAATTTCTTTGCTGAAAACCATCCTACCTAGTGTCACAGGAGTGTGAGGGGATAACTCAAGGCTCCCTAGTTCTATCAATATCCCAGCCTTTACAATATTATATCACTCTCATACTCAATAAACTCCATAGGCTTGCTGTTGACTCTGGGACCAAGTGCTAACTAGTTCATCATGATCACAGTGTTTTAAAATTTCTATTTTTGGTGAAAGTTTTAAAATGCACATAATCATTAATACAATTTTACTGTGTTTACTTGATAAATGAGCAAATATACACATATTAGAGGTGCATACTCAATTTAAATGTAAAAAAAATAATTTTTTTTTTACTGATAAAACCAGTTTTAAGACCAGTGCCTGAGAGACAGTGGGAACTGAGGCAATTTGGCCAAACTGTGCCCCTTTCTCCACAGGAAGGCAGGGACAGGTAAACACTTAAGAGCTAGAAAGCCCCACCCACATAATAAAGGATTTATATCTAACTGCCTTTGTATGTGTCCTTATCTAGCTTGCTAATTGTTAGTGTACTTAAAGTGTACCTGGGTATTAAAAAGATACTGAGGGTTAGTACATTTGAATAAAAAACTACAACTGTGTTTGCCCTCTTGAATATCAAATAATGTTACCATTAACTACTACTGTTTCCTTTGGATCTCTCAGGTAATTCTGGACAACGGGTAGTTTTCCTGGGCCTACAACATATGTAGTTTTGCCTCTGTCTGATGCCACATTATGGAGGGGTTTTCATGTCCTCAATATTGTTTGTAGAAGTGAATTGGATTTTAAAATGCCATGATTATTCAAGTGAAATTTTCCTTAGACCATTGCCTTTTAATTCCATGTATTTGTTGGCCAACCAATCTTTAAAAAAAAAAAAAGACTAGTGGGATTAGAAATCAAAACTTTTAGAACATGACTTTGTTATCTTTAGATTTTAGACTTGGAAAGGGTCACTCAGAGTCACTGCTCAGTCTTCACGGCTGCATAGTTTTCAAAGCTTCCTCAGCTATGTAGTTCTTGAATGAGAGGCATGCCAAGGTCTTGGCAAATGTGGCGATGACCATGGTCTAAATGGGTCCCCTGGAAAAGCTAAGCTCCTGCTTATTTCAAGTGCCATGCTTTATTAAATAGTATTTCCTCCCATTCTGGGAAGTGTTATTTAAATGCTGATTGTCTCAAAAGACTTATCCATCATTTTAATGTATCCTAAAGAAGTTGAGAGTGAGAGGGATGTGAATTGGATAGGCAGTGTGTTTGTATATGTTTGATTCATGTCCATGAATTAATACTTCCGTAAAGATTGATTATATATCCTAGAGTGGAGCTTTTATGTGTGAAATGAAAATTATTCTCATGCCCTCTTATTGGGAAAATAAATTGATACTAATCTTTGTTAACAACTGCACATTATTTAACTAGCCTAAATCTAGGTTACCATGGAAAGACCTCAGAACTTGGAGGCAAAAGACTTGGAACTTAATTCCCAGCTCTATTGCTTGCTAACTATATAACATTGCAAAGCTTATTTAACCTCTCTGGGTCTCAATTTCCCCATCTGTAAAATCAAGACCACAATGTGGTGCCCACTTCCACAAGGCTCAGCATCAAATGAGATAACATCGAAGTTGCATGTAAATATAATCTGATGATGTTAATGTCTGTATTGCGATTACCAAATTTTTTTTGGTGAGGCAATGGGGGTTAAGTAACTTGCCCAGAGTCACACAGCTAGTAAGTGTTACATATTTGAGACTGAATTTGAACTCAGGTTCTTCTGACTCCAGGGCCAGTGCTCTGTGCACTGCGCCACCTAGCTGCCCCTGAATTTTTTATGTTAGGGTTGCTACTGTAGTCAGCTCTGCTACATTTCTTTGGGGAAGATGATTAGTACAGTCTAGGCAGGGTCTTCAGTTTTATTGTAAAAGACATCATTCATCTTAGTTGCTGCCATTAATCTGATAATATAAAGTTTAAAATCCCTTCAAAAGGAATCAGAATGGGTTGATGTTTTCCCCTTTCCACAATGGAAAACTGGTAACGTCAGGTTTTTATCCTCACTTAGGCATTTAAAAAACATAAGCAACTTTGTTTCTGCAGCTTAGATTGGTTGACAAGAACAAAATACAAGTTCCTGTTCTTTAACCTGAAACAAATTTTCTTAAAAATCTTCCTCATGCTTAGCTTCCTTTTCTTTTTTTTTTTCTTGTTTTTAATGGGAGAGGATCAGTGTAAGTCAACAGGCCATTTGATGGAAAGTCTTTCCAGCATATTTTGAACAGAACATATTTATATTCTCTAAGTGAGAAATCTGTAAGGTAAAGCATGGTTTGTTGGGGGAAATAAAAGTGCTGGGCCAGGGAGTCAAGAGATGTGAGTACTAGTTTTAACCCTGTTCCCTGGATTGAAGTCTCACTTCTGATACATGCTGACTATGTGACTGTAGCAAGTCACTGAATATTTCTGGGCTTCAGTTTCTATATATTTCAAATCAACAAAAGAGAGATTAAGTTTGTGTTTTGTGATGGATACGGAGGGCCTGTGTGTGTGTGTGTGTGTGTGTGTGTGTGTGTGTGTGTGTATGATTAGGGACTGGACCCATGATTTCATCAGTGTTAGCAACTGTAGGTGTGGAAATTCCCTTCATTGATCCAGATCAGCAATTGTTCTGCAATATCTAGTATCAGAGTTCTCTGGGTGGACTGATAGGGTCAATTCAGACTTGCCCAGAGTCACATAGTGATAAAGTATCAGAGACAGTATTTGGACTGAAGTCTTCATGACTCTGAGACCAGCTTTCTATTCACTATATCATGCCCTCCTGAAACTTAAGTGAATTAAAAGTAATTTAATGTTAAGGATATTTTTAGATCTTTCAAACCAATGGAGATGACTCATATGAGATACATACATATTACATAATTGATAATTTTATACTTTATAAATCTGAATAAATTATATTAACCTATGTTGGATTTATATTATATTATGTTATGTTATATTATTTTATATTATATTATCCAGTACTGTACTGGCTGCTAGGAAACACAAGTGGAGTATATAAATTAGCTACACAGATTAGTGATTCCTAAACCAGTTTTGTGGAGGAGTTTTTTCCACTTACGTATGTATCTCTATTGATCTGAAGCTATAGTTACAAGAATTCCAAAATATCCTTAAAATCATATCAATTTAAATTCACTTTAATTTCAGGGGGGAAATATATATACATTTATATACATATGTGCATACACACATACATATACACATATACATACATACCCATATATACATACATGTATATATACTGCCCAAAAGAGAGTATGGTATAGTGGGTAGAAAGCTGGTCCCAGAGTGATAAAGACCTTGGTCTAAGTCCTGCCTCTGACACAGTATAGTTGTGTGCCCATGGACAAGTTATGTGCCCCAGACAGGTTTATAAGGTTGTATGTAACTCACAGAACAATTGTCCATCTGAATAAGTGGAGAGACTTTTCACATTTAGAATTCCCCATAATAATGGAATCATGGGTCTGCCCTCCAGTCTTTCCCTCTGTCTCTGTCTTTCTGTCTATCTGTCTGTTTCTCTTTTATTTGCTCTTGCTTACTTTCATCCTCTTTTCTATCTGCAGTATAACATAGAATGGTGGTATGGGCAGGGAGAGAAGATGGACAAATTGAGCAAGCATCCCTAGAAAATGTAGAAATCACGACCTAAAGTGCTCAGGGGTCTGGAAAGAGTAGCAGCTGGATTGGGATTTGGGCATGTTTTCATTACTTTATGTCCTTTAGAGCTTTTAGAAAAGGATCACATTTTAACCCTCCTGTGGTGTAGTGGCTGCTTTTGAAGTTGTTTTGGAATAAAGAAAACTTTGGTTCAAGTCTCAATTCTGACACATCCTGCCTGTGTAACCTTGGTGGCTTAACTTAACCTCTCAGTCTCTCAAAGACTGTAAGTTATAGTTACAGAGAAGAATGTTGATATACACTGATAGAGGAAGTCCTTCATCAGTGGGACTTGCTTCACCTATACAAATTAAATCATGGGCCAGGGACAAAACAAATATTTTAAGATTTTTCAACCGGGTCCAGTTCTAACTCCCAACTTAATATAATCTTGAATTGGTCCATCCTAAGATTCATCCCATTTATCTCAATGCCAACCCAAGGGTTTGGTGGTATATTATGCGATGACAAACACCAAATGGAATTTCAAAAGTTTGGAAATCAGTTATAAATGTGTCTTAGAATTGTTGGAATGTGGGGGGAGCTAGGTGGCACAGTGGACAGAGCACCGGCCCTGGATTCAGGAGGACCTGAGTACCAATCCAGCCTGAGACACATAACACTTACTAGCTGTGTGACCCTGGGCAAGTCACTTAACCCCATTGCCTAGCTAAAAAAAAAAGAATTGTTGGAATGTTTGTATTCATTCCTCTTTGCATCTTACCACTTGCCCTGTAGCAATTCCAGTGCATCTGACTTTGAGTCTTCCCTCCACCTCCCTCTCTCTTTTCCTTCCTTTTTTATATCCTACTTTTTTTTTTTGTGAGGCAGTTGGGGTTAAGTGACTCACTTGCCTAGGGTCACAGAGCTAGTGAGTTATGTGTCTGAGGCTGGACTTTACCTCAGCTTCTCCTGACTCCAGGGCTGGTGCTCTATCCACTGTGCCACCAAGCTGCCCCTATATCCTACTTTTGAAGTGTTGAAATATTGCTATTTCATCAGTACATGACTTACAAGCCCAATGCTCTTTCTCTGCTTTATTAACAGACAAGAGACGACTTCCTTGGACAAGTGGACGTTCCTCTTAGTCATCTCCCGGTAAGATGGTTGTAATTGACCTGTGTTTTATGTGATGGGAAAAAGTTTTTAATTGAGGCCCTTTGATAAATTGTCTGAATTTTGGGGGAACATTTCTTATACTTTAGTGAGGAATGGAAGGTAGAATGAGAGGAAGAATCAAAGTCTTACTTCCATTTTAGAAAGGTAAGAGAAATTCTCAGCTATAAATGGAGATTTGGTTTATCAATATCAATTACTCCCAAAATTCCAGTCCAATTTTTTTTAACTGCTCTTCTGTATTTCTAGCTAGGCTGTTCTGTGTCCCAGCTATTTTTTCTTTATTATTGTCCCATTTTTCAGTAACCTCTCCCTTGATTCCCAAGAAACTGGGAGATGAGGAGAGATAATAAATTACCTGCCTTTACTCAGACTAGACAGGAAGTATACATCTCATTTTTCCTTTCTCTTGAGATTAGTTTCTCTCTCAGCCTGATTAAGAAGCATAGCAGTTGAGTCTGCATAGTGGTAAGGGATACCACTCAAAGGTTCTGTAAGAAAGAGGACAAGAAGATCTCGATGAAAGAGATGACATGTTGAATTCTAGTCTCCTTCCTCTGTCCTATTCTCCATTCTACTTGTAACACAAAATGGTAGTTTATGTAATGAAGAGTATAGTATAGGACAAAAAAGTCATTGCTTTGGGGAAGTGATGGTTTTGTTACCTTTTAACATCACTAGTCACCCATCATCTTCATTATCATTAGCATCATTTGCAATAACAAGTAAGTAGGTGTAGGTGGAATAGATTTTCCACTAATGAAATGGTTTTAAAACAGCTAATGAGACCTTAGCTACTGGGTTGACTTTGAAGCTCTTCTTACCAGACTGAACATACAGGATGGATGCTACCAATGATGGTTTCTAAAATATCTGAAAGAAATCTGATAGCAAAAACTCTATTAAGAGGCCCTGTTAAGAAAGAAAGGTTTCGTATAGATGATTCTTTTCAAGCAGCACAGCTTGTATAAAAAAAAAAAAACTAAAATGCTCAGGTACAAGCACTGAAGGGGTATGTGTACTTTTGAATATGTGGGGGTTTTTTGGTTTTTTTTTTTTAGTTAAACATATACCTCTTTGAGTGATGGCTATAAAAGGAGACATCCCATAAGAAAATGGTTTCAGTGTTTTAAAGGCCTAATTTGTACATATAATATTTATTATTTATGTATTTTTATTTTTTTTATAACCTTGGGACTACAGTGTGAGATGTAAATTTAATTGATTAAAATATGTATGAATTGATAGGTATGTAGACACAGAACTTCCTAACCTAGGCTTTTTTATTCCAAAAAAATTTTACTAACCACGTTTCGTTATGATTGGTTTCCTTTGTAGTCCTATATATTTCATTTTCTGCATTTGAAGATATTATTCTGAGAAGGGTTTCATGAGATTGCTACATGTTTCAGTGATACACAAAAAAATTTTCAGAACCCCCACTTTAAAAGATCTGTGACTTTACCAGGGTGGATATTTTTTTACTCCAGTACTAGTTGCAGCCTTTCCATGCCTTAGGCTTAGATTATGGTCTTTAGTGAGTTTTGTTATAGCTTTTTGGTGATGAGCTCCTCCTTGCTCAGTCTGGATCTTAGAGAACAGGCCTCTTCAAAGCCTGTCTGTTAAACCTAGCAAAGTTTGTATCCTACTGTGATGAAACATCAGAGTGAGACACTCATGACAGTTTTTATAAACAAACATAAAATCTCTTTGCTATGGATTAATTTGTAGTAGGAGTGGTATAGTTAAGATTGTTCAAGCTGTCCTTTTCTTGGCTAGTACCTAGATTAGGCTCGTGTACTTAGTTGGGGATGTTTAGCAATCAGTCAATTAACCAGCATTAATTGTCTGTAGTAGCAATGCTATGTGCAAAAAACTCCTGGCCCTCCCTCATGGGTCATAAATTCTAATAGGAAAGACAACATGTACATGAGTAGGTGTACACAAGACATGTACAAATCAAATGTCAAGTACCCTTATAGGAGAAGGCATTAGAAGAAGGATTTTTAACCTGCTGCAGAGTCTGTGAACCTTTTATTTATTTATTTTTTAAGTTTTAGTGACTTTCAGCATAATTGATTTTCTTAATATGCTTACATATATTATTTAACACATTCAAAAACATTATTCTGAGTGAGAGTCCACAGGCCTGCCAAAGCAGTCCATGCCACGAAGAAGGTTAAGAACCTCTGTAGTGAAAGATGGAAAGAACAGGAAATCTCTCCCATAGGAGGTGGCACTTGAGAGAAGTCTTGATGGAATCCTGGAATTCTATGAGGAGAGAGGGAGATGGAGAACATCTTTTATTAGGAACGTCAGATTTGGGGGGGGAAAGTCAGAAGAGGAGGCTGATGCTAGGGACAAGGGAGGGATGTGGAAATATGGTTTCAGGGAAAGAAGACATGAAGAAAGCACCCTAAACCTTTATTTATTTAGGAATGCTTGATTGGCCTAAGTTGCTCAGATACCAAGATTGGATCAAGTGGTTCCTGAGGAAAAGAGACATATAAATTCTAAACTAGGTTAGTGTACATTCCCCTCAATCCAAATCTCTACCCTTCTTGGAAAAGGTAAATAATCCCAAAGTAAAAAACCATAAATGCTTCAAACTTATCACCTTTCTATTACCGATTTTCATTTTATCCTGTTCCTCATCTGTAGTCTTGATCTTCATTCCCAATATGCAAAACCACTCAGAAGAGTATATATGTTTGAGGGGATCTTTTTCTTCTTAAATTGGTTTTTTTTTTTGCTTCTTGGTGAGGCAGTCAGAGTTATGTGACTTGCCCAAGGTCACACAGCTATTAAGTGTTATGTGTCTGAGACTGGATTTGAACTCATGTCCTCCTGACTTCAAGGCCAGAGCTCTATACACTGCACCACCTAGCTGCACCCTTAAATTGTTTTTTCAAATGTAAGAATGTACATCAGTGTTTGTGAATTCTGTTTCAACTAAGTAATGAGCTTATCTCTGGGCTAAAGTGATTCACTGTGATGAACGTACTCTTTTCTGAGTACCTTTTGTCTGTGTCCCCAGGGAGCCTTCCAAAGTATCTATACTTTGCCTATTTGGGTACTCACCATACCGTTTTATTTACAACATATCATAGTCTTTTGTATCATATTTCTACCAAGTTGACTGCTATTGAAATTTTAAAAAGAACAAATTATTTCAAGAAAGATAGACTTTTAATTTCTTCTTGCACAATAAAAGATCTCCACCCCCCAAAAGATAATCTAGATTCCTAGATTACTATTCCTAGTAATGAGTTACTTAAAGCATTCTATAAGACAACAGATCAAAATTCAATATTATGAATTATTTTTATTTATTTAAAAGCTTACTTTATGTTTTTTAAAAAGAAGAGTCCTAAGGTTGCAATTCATTGTCTTTTTACAAATAATAGTCAAGTAATATATTTTTCTCTCCCTTGATCAGATACCAAAATAATCTCTCATAGAAATTCTAGTAGTCCATTGGCAGAGTTAGCACTGTGTATCAGCATTTGCAATGTAAAACTCTATATTGCCATTCTTCATAATGAAAGTTTCAAGTTGAACCATGTTTACAATTATAAAGTCACTAGCCCAGAGAAACTTTTCAGAAATGCAAGTGGGACAAGGTGTTCCCACACCTTAATGGGTTCACTTGGGATTAGATTCTTTTGTGAAAGAATGCCGAGTAGTAAGCGTTTTGGCATCTCTGCAGTGGGTTACATGGGTTCTTTGTTAGCCTGCTGTACTAATCACTGGGGACCTGAAACTCATTAGATACTCTGCTAGCCCTTACATACCATTACTTGAGATTCCATTTTGGCATTCTGCCAGTAGATGAAAATGAATTTTAATCTGAAGTGTTATCTATACGTGATCTGAGCTTTGGTGATCTGGAGAGGGGAAAAGACTCACCCACATGGAAATTTATTCTATTCCCTAAACAGCAATAATACAGAGTTGGAATGAGAGGTGACTTTTTTTTCTTTATTAAGAAATTAATTCATTTATTAATAAATTTAAGACATTAGAGTTTTCAAGTGCTGGCAATAGCAGAGGATGGATTTAGAATTGTAAGGGGCCTGAGCAGTCATACAGTCCAACCTCTTTTACCAATGAGAAAACTGAGAAGAGAGGTTAAGGGACTTGCCCAAGGTCATGCAGGTAATAAATAGTAGAAACAGAATCCTGAAGCAGAACCCAGGTCCTCTCTGTACAAATTCAAATTTTTTCCACTTTACTAAGCTGCCTTCCCTCATTGAGATCTTATAATACTAGAAATAGGTCCCATCTTTCTCCTTGTTTTACTTTTCCTCATGTTCACTTTTTTTTAAAGTTATGGATAATGTTTCATTTGTTGAGATATACAGAAGCCATGATTTTGTACAGGAAAAAATCTTAACCACTTAGGTCATATAAAAATGAGAGATATAAATTAAAATTTACTTTTTAAAAAATGACCTTTTATTCTCTACCCCAATGAGATATCTTCTTTAAAATGTCTTTTCTTTTGGGGGTGGGGGTTGGTAGTAATAAGGGGTTCCTATTAGTACATTTAGTTTCTCATAAGAGTCTACAAAACCTAGAGGACAGGATTTATGTTGTGAACCACTTGAGTTTCCAAAACAGAATTGTATGTAGGGGAGATAGAAAAGAATGTGGCAATTGGAAGGTTGACATTTAAACAAACAATAAACAAAAAGGAGAGTACTAGACTGGAGTCTAGCACCAGATTGGAAACTAGTAGGCTGGGGTCTATTACTGGCTTTGCTATTGTGTGTTATGTCTGGGGCTCCCAAACTTACCCCAAGGTTGATGAGGCCTCAGAGTCTCAGTTGCCATATCAGAAATACAACCCTTGGCTGTCTCGAAAGGTCTTTTTGCCAGAAAGCTGACCCCTCCAGCCAGTAGCTACCAAGCACAGCCACAGCACACAAGACAGATGCCCACAGAGATGGAAATAAACACAGCATGTTAGACTTAGATACGATGACTAAAGTATAGTAGATGTACTGCCAACTGCAGTTTTAAACTGTAGACAAAGTTCTCTTGGCACTCTTTTCACCATCCTAAGGGTCCTTGTACTGTTAGAGGTATTCAGAGAAACCATTGTTGTTACCAGAAGAGACATACAGAGAAATCTCTAAGCTCTTGGCAATTCAGACACACTCTTCTGGAATCCCAGAGTCTACCTGTCTGAAGCGCTGTTCACAAACAACTGAAATCTGCCACAATGGTTTCATAGTAGTGACCAGGCTGTTAAGTGTCAGGATGAGTTTCCTTTTCTTCTTGTTCTTTAAACATTCCCACCAGATACTGCCCATCATGGCAGTGCAGCACAGTAGTAATGGGAGAATGTGGATGCTCTTCTTGATGAGGTCTAGAGGTTTACGGGTGCTGGGACCCTGATATCATGACACACAGGTCCTGTCCAAAAGAATTCAACCCAAGCCTTCTTTCTGCTGAAGACATGATTTATTAAAGATCTGCCATATTAGCCAGACTCTTAAGGAATCTGAGCATCTGTGAACTATTGGTTAGATTATAAAAATTTGAGCAGTGGCTAGATTTTAAGAATCTGAGCATCTTAAAGGAGACAAGATGGACCTGATATACAGAAAGACTGGGAGGGATCTAGGAGTGGCCAAGTAGTTTGGGGTGACTGGAGGAGGGGTCTAAGGAGGATCTGGATGGGAGTGGCCAGAAAGCTGGGGTGAACTGAATGCCTAGGACCCAGACCACATGCCCAAGGGAGAATGGAGCCTGTCTAGGATTAAGGATGGGAAATGGCCTGGGGCCATAGGGAGGTAAGACAATGGAGGACTAGGCTAGGTTAAGGATAACATTGGGAGATAGGGTTTAGCCACAGTGAAAGACCAGTTGATGGTATTATAGCTTCAGGTGAACACCAGAGATTTGTCCAGGTGGGAAAGGCCAGAGTTCCTTTTTGGGGTCTCGATCCCATCCTCATCATTCTTACCATATAGTGTTGATCTAGCTCCCTGCTCTGAGCTTTGTCATCCCCTGGCAGTTGTGCTAACCTGAGTGACCCTCAAATGTATGTCATTTGACCTCCTTTGGCTTTAGTTGCCTAAGAGTAAATGAGAGAATTGATCTCTATAATCTCTAGGATCATTTCCAGCTTTATAATTCTTTTATGCTATTTTATACTTCTATTTGTCAACTCTTCCACAGAATTAATTTAAATAAACAGGAAGAACTTAGTATACTTGGCTCCATATTATGTTCTAATCAGGTTCTAGCAGAGGAATACAAGAGAGATGTTAACCTAATAAATAAGTTGAATATTTGTATTTCTTATTTTGTATGTTAGCTCCTCATTTGTTTCTGATACATTGTTTTCTGCTCAAGTTTTTTTGCCCGCATTCTTTCTTTTCTTTTTTTTTTCTTTTCGGTGAGGCAGTGGAGTTAGTGACTTACCCAGGGTCACACAGCTAGGAAGTGTTAAATGTCTGAGGCTGGATTTGAACTCAGGTCCTCCTGACTCCAAGGCCAGAGCTCTATTCACTGTACCACCTAGCTGTCCCCTTTTGCTCAAATTCTAAGGAAACTATTCTGAATTCTTGTTAAATAACATTTTTTCCTTTTAGTGTTGAAGGGGCCTCGACTAAAGTCCTAGTTCTTGCTGTTTCTTCATGGAATGTGGGTGATTCTTGCTTCTCAGAGGCTATCTATTCCCATGGAGTATAACCTCTAATTGGTTCTCTTAAACTGAAAAGTCTTCATGTATAGATCTAACGGTTATCAAAGGAACAACCTACCTCAATATTAGAGGCTCGTCAACAAGACTGTCTACTGGGTCATGCATATGTTGGTCACCGTGGTTCATGGAACCATTTGCTTGGGTGTGGTGGCATTGCAATTTATTTCAGTAGAGTAACATGGTCAGACTTCAGCATTAGGAAGATTATTTTGGGAGCTGTGTGGTAGATGGATTGGAGGTGGGAGATATTGGAAACAGGGAAAGAATAGTTAGGAGGCAATTAATTATATTAGTCTAAGGCAAGAGGTGATTAGCACCTGAACTAAGGTGGAAGTATTGTAAGCGAGAGGTGTTGTAAGTTGGAGACAGATCCAAGTTTGTTAGAGGTACAATTGACAAGATTTGGCAACTGATTGGATATGAGGTATGAGGGAGAGAGGGATTATGGTTAAATTTTAGAGCCTCAGTAACAGAGGGGGTATTACAGCCATCAATAGAAAATTGGAAAGCTGGAAGTTACCCAAGGTAGCTTTAATTGCAAGTAGGCATGATGGTTTGTTATTGGCCACTAAAATGCTGAAGTTTATCAGCTATGTTATATTGAGATCTGTATCCTATTATTAAAAAATGCAGCTGGCAGTTTATGTACAATAATTAGACATTGTGTCTTTGTCTAATATCTACTGTTGGAATTAATTTTGGGGGCCTCAAATAGACAATGTCAGTAGTGATATTAATAGATCTAACTTAGGTAGTCTCCTGGTGAGGTCTTGGCTATTGTTTCTAAATGTAGGGAAATCAACCACATTTATATACTTACAATGTTTTATAATAGGAAAATTCACGATCTAGCTTAATAGGTCAAAAATGTAAAGACTGTCAATTTTCAAACCTAATTTGCTTCTCATTGTCTATAGACTGAAGACCCAACCATGGAACGACCCTATACATTTAAGGATTTCCTCCTCCGACCAAGAAGGTAAGGGCTTATTTTTGTTGTTTTACATGTATGCAGATTTCAAGTTTATTTAAATTTTACTTTTTCACACAAGTAAATATAGTCCACAAAAAGCACACTTGTACCCATACTTTTGGTAATTTGTCTTTTCTCCCTATTATATAGTCATAAATCCCGGGTAAAAGGCTTCTTACGATTGAAAATGGCATATATGCCAAAGAATGGAGGACAAGATGAAGAAAATAATGATCAGAGGGAAGATTTAGAGGTAAGACCCCTTTGCTTTATGTTTTCTCTATTGTTGTTTAATAATAATAAAATAGCTAAAGTGAATTTTAGGTTTTTTTCGGAATACCTTATTTCAGAAATATGAACAAACATATTGGCATCCATCTGTTGGAATTAATGGTGGCTACCACGTTCAGACATTTTAATGAGGATATGTTACAGTTCATTGTAGCCTGCATTGTTTATAAAATGTAAATATTCACCACAAACATTTCTAATGTTTTTCTTCTAACAAAGATAAGAAGTGTTGTTAAGTATAGAACTGGGAGTGAAGGAATTATTTTAGAATTGCTTGCATCTGCAAGTTTTTATATTGTTTTCTTGTACTATGTTACTACATTTGTGGCATAGTGGATTCAGTACTGGACTTAGAGTCACAAAGACCCAAATTCACATCTTCCTTCGCATACTTACTATGTAAACCCCTGCCAGCCTCAATCTCATCATCACCTGTAAAATGAAAATAATGACAGCTACTTCACAGGTTGTTGTGAAGATCAAGTGATATAATACATGTGTTGTTGTTCAGTCATTTCAGTGGTGTCTGACACTTCATGACCCCATTTGGAGTTTTCTTGGCAAAGATACCAGAATAGTTTGTTATTTCCTTCTCCAGCTCATTTTACAGATGAGGAAACAGAGGCAAATAGGGTTAAGTGATTTGCCCAGGGGCACAAAGTTAGTTAGTATCTGAGGCTGAAAGATGAATCTTTCTTACTCCAGGCCTGGCACTCTATCTACTGAGCCACCTAACTGCCCATATAATACATATAAAGTGCTTTTAAAGCCTTCAAGATCCATATAAATGCTAGTTGTTGTTGTTATTGAATATAAAGGGAAGATAAAAACATAATGAGCCGTGTCTGACCAAGTGACTAAATCTTGAGTTTAGGCAGTGCCCCTTTGGACATCAAATAATTTCAAAACTTTGTAGAGTTTACTCAGTTACTTGTGCCAATGAAGTTAATACATTTTTTGGTAACAAAATGTACATTTGTATCAGATAATTTTGTTGTTGTTTGCCAATCACACATTGTAATCATAAAAAGAACTTACATTTAGAGAGCTTTTTTAAATTTCAAAGCATTTTGATACATTATCTCATTAATGCCTCCTTATTGCTCTAGCTGAAATTAAATGCTATCTTGACTGTAAATACGATTTTTAAAAACCAAATAGCTCTTATATTTTATAAAGAAGAGTTAACCTTTAAATTTTAATGTAGCCTACCATGAACAATTGAATAGTTTTTCACTATGAATTTCTTTCTTTCTTTTTTAAGACAGGGTTACCCAGGTTTTGCTCCTTCTCACCCCTATAAGGGATTTGGAAAGCTACCCTTTTCGTTTAATTCCATCATGACTTGAAGATTTATCCCTTTTAAAATCCCCTCTAACCTTTGGGATTCATTCAGAGTATCTAGAAGCATTAGAAAATCTCTCCCAAGTTTCTCGTTCATTTGGCACCCACATGTGAGAATGCATTAGATGACCTTTCCCTAGAAAAAACCATTTTGGAATTAACTGTCCTGATGAATTTTTCTTTGCTTTCTCATTTTTTTGGGTGGAGAGGGGAATGAGAGGATATGATGAGGAGGAATAGGGTGGGTCCACCAATGCCTTCCCGTTATCCACTAAGAGCATTTTACCTTTTTCTATGCTTTTACATCTTGAAAAGACTCTCTGAGTCCTGTTTTGTTAGGCAATTATTCCTCTGCTTCTGACGGTGGATGTTAATCAAGGCCTAACTATTACTTGGTTTGCCATTTGTATGCAGCTGTTGTATTATGTGAATAATGTTCACATAATACAACACATTAACAGACCCCTCAGACTGAAAAGCCAAGTTTTGGGCAATATTTCACTCACAAACTTTCATCTCTATGTATAGTATATGAGGAGAAAAATGTACAAGTGGGTGGTAGACTGCTCTTAATTTCAAGACACCATAAGCAGTCAGCATATTTTCATTTATTATTTTAAATCCACTAATTTTTTACACTCTTCTACTCGTCTGATGGCAGTAACCAACATATTAATAATTTTACAGTGATTTTACTCTGGGATATTAGGAAAGGAATACTTAATGCTGAAAATATGTATTGTAAAATGTAATTTTAGCTCTAAGGCAAGGCAGCCTGATTGTATGGAGGCAATGTCATTAGAATAAAGGGAGACAAGCATCAGTTCCCGATCTACATCTGGCTCCAGGGATGAAGAGAAGCCAGCCATGAGTGTGGTAGCTCCTTACCTAGAAAAAAATAATATTAAGCCTGGAATATATCTATTCCTGGCCTTACCACTGATTCATTTTAACCCATGATAAGATTTCAGGCAAATCACTGACATCTGCAAAATGGAGATCTTTTTCATCATTTCATTCATCATTTAAAGATGTTAGAATATGTATGCCTATCATAAAACAAACCCATGGATGTCATGTTAGTGAAGCTCTGATGAAAGCCATATAGGCCTTTAAAAGAAAAATCACATACAAGGTGCAACAATGAAATAATGAGAATGATTTTTTAAACAATTACATATGATTACTTTAAAATACTTCAAAATAGTTGGAAGATTATTATTATTATTATTCCATTTATTCTAATGAAGCTGTTATTACTTAAAACATTTCTGGCATTTCCCTTTTGGGATGGCCTTCAGAATCTGTAGCAATTTATTAAAATCCTCTTTTGTTGAGATAAGTTATAAGTAAGCGCCAGAATACCTGTGGTCTTGCCTAAGGCCCTCCCCACTGCTGGCTGTGTGAGGTTGGGAAGTTATTGCTCTTTTCTATAAAATGAAAGAAGTAGATTAGATAATTCCTATGGTTCCTTGCAGCTTTAAAATTACTACAAATTTATGTTTCATAATCTCAACCGGGCCCTCACCCTCACTTCAGTAAGGCAATCATTTTTCACCTCCTTAATCAATTTATTATCCCACTCACTGCAAGAACTGTTCATCCATTCTCATCTCTCCTTGATCTCTCCTAATCAAACTTTCCTTAATACTTTCAGCAAATTGCCTTTCTTTTTTTGAGAAGTATGAATCATGATTTTCCACTACTGTCTTTGTTCTTCTCCCCTTCCATCACTTAGATGTCTTCCCCCATTGTCTTCCCTTCACCTCTGTCTTTCATGTTTTTCTTTTTTGCCAAGGCAACCCCATCTATACATACCTTTGATCCCGTTCCATCCCATCTTCTCCAACATATTGCCCCCCCCTGTCATCCTCTCAATCATTTTTTTTTGGGGGGGGTGGTTTAGGCAATTAGGGTTAAGTGACTTGCCCAGAGTCACACAGCCAGTAAGTGTCAAGTGTTTGGTCTGAGGCCGGATTATGAACTCAGGTCCTCCTGACTTCAGGGCCGGTACTCTATCCACTGCGCCACCTAGCTGCCCCCACTCTCAATCATTTTTAACCTTTCTCTACTTGCTGCTTTCAAACATGCTCGCTTCTCCTCTATCATTAAGAACCCTCACTACCATCCCTGCTAACTTCCATCCTATATCTCTTACCCTTCTTTGCTAAACTCCTTGACAAATCCATCTACAGTAGATACCTTCACTTCTCCTCTCACTTTCTTCTAAACTATCCACAATATGGTTTCTGGATTCATCATCATTCAACTGAAACTGCCCTCCACAAAATTACCAATGTTCTCTTAATTTTTTTCTTCTTTTTTTTTTGTTGGGCAATAGGGGTTAAGTGACTTGCCCAGGGTCACACAGCTAGTAAGTATTATATGTCTAAGGCCAGTTTTGAATTCAGGTCCTCCTGAATCCATGGCCGGTGCTCTATCCACTGAGTCACCTAGTTGCCGCAAACACAGCTAATGTTCTCTTAAGTGCCAGAGAAAATGGCCTTTTCCTTCATCCTCCTCCTTCTTGTTTGATCTTCAGTATTGATGTGGCTGATCACCCTCTTCTTCTGCAGATTTTATCCTTTTTAGGTTGGTGTGACTCTGCTCTTACTGGACTGACCATTCTTTCTTAGTCTCCTTTGCTGGATCTTCATGGGCTGTCCCCATACCTGGAATGTTCTCCCTTCCCACCTTCACCTCCTATTTTCCGTGGCTTCCTTCAAGACTCGGCTCATGTCCCACCTTCTGCAACAGGCCTATTCTCATCATCTTTCATTAATGCAAGTTCTTTATACCTCAACCACCCTAGTGAAGACCCTCATCACCTCCTGCCTAAACTATTGTAGTAGCCTTCTCATTGGCCTACTGACAGTCCATCCCCCAGACTGACCATCACCCTCTCTGATCAAGGTAGTTAGGGGCCAAAGTAGATAGATAGAGTGCTGGGCCTAGAGTCAGGAAGACCTGAGTCTTCACTTAACTAGCTGTGTGACCCTAGGCAAGTCACTTCACCTCTGTTTACCCCAGTTTCCTCAACTGTAAAATGGGAATAATAGCATCTACCTCTCTCTCAGAATTGTGAAGATCAAATGAGATATTTGTAAAGCCCTTAGTAGGCACCATATAAATACTCATGCTCTTTCTTCCTCCCATTCAGTAAACTCCTATTAAGAAGTGCTCAGTTTTGCATTTAAACCCTTCACAACCTCACCTTTTCCTACCTTTTCACTATTCTTACACTATTCCTCGCCAGTGACATCAGGCTTCTCGCTTTTCTTCACACACAATGCTCCATCTATTGTCTCTGTCTTTTTAGTGGCTGTCCCCCATACCTGGAATGCTCTCTCTTCTCACCTTCACCTCCTATTTTCCCCAGCTCCCTTCAAGACTTGGCTGATGTCCCACCTTCTGTAGGAGGCCTGTTCTCATTCTTCAAGACTAATGCCGACTTTCTAAATTATCTTCCACTTGCACCACACATTTTGTTTGTGGTTATTTGTGTGTCATTAGAATATGAGTTCCATGAGGGCAGGGCCCATGGTTGTTCTGTTCCTTTTATCCCCAGTGCATAGCACAATGCCTGACTCGTGGTAAGCACTTAACAAAAGCTTGTTTACCAGATGATTATCCTTAATAGCTTCTTTTAAAATTAGACCTTGTATAAAAACACCAGGTATTATTTTTAGACAGTTGGCTTAATTGTGAATTTTATGTTGTGTGTCTGTGTGTTGTTTTTTTAAGCTGTAATGTTGCTTTCTTATCCTAGAAGCAAAAATAAAATTAACCTTTTAATCACCCATTCAACTTTATTTTATAGCATGGGTGGGAAGTTGTTGATTCAAATGACTCGGCTTCTCAACACCAGGAAGAACTTCCTCCACCTCCGCTGCCACCTGGGTGGGAAGAGAAAGTCGACAATTTAGGCAGAACTTACTACGTCAACCACAACAACAGGACCACCCAGTGGCACCGACCCAGTTTAATGTAAGTCCTCTATGTCTATAGGTTAAAGAACATGCCCTTGGTTAGGACAGAAATAGAACAAAACATGGCACCTCTTTAAGAATAAGGCTGAGGCTTATATCCAAAACCAGTTATACTTACAGGTTTTTAATGCTCTGTGATCCTTTCTTGGCTCCCCAAGTTAAGGTGAAGAGCCTCGGAGCAAGTCACACTAAGTGCATTCTAAGAATAACAATTTTGGTGTCATATTCTTCTTAGGAAAACTTGAATTGGATGATAAACCCTTTGATAAATTGGCATTCCCGGATTGCTTGGCATTATTAGATTAATGGAATGGAAAATTGAGCTTATGTTTCCCAGATTTAGTAGACTATGTTGAATGATTACTTTTTCTTCCTTGACCCCACTCTTGGTGACTGACCCTTAATCCAAAGTGGCAAAACAAAATAACTTTGGAATCTTCTCCATTCATTGAGCCTGTGCTTGCCAGCATGGGGGAAGGGGAAGAGAGAGGATTTTTTGAGACCCTATCATTGCTTGATTTTTAGAAACCTTTCCAAAAAGACCCATGTAGTATATGCATATATGTGAAAGTGCATATATGTGTGTGTGTAATTAAAGAAAATTATGTTTTTGGAAATTTTTGAAAATTTTGCATTTTCCCCTTGGAGGGACACTGGATATTTCTATTCTAGGATAGTTTGCATATAGAAAGTACTTAATAAATGTTTGTTGGGTTAAATCACTGCTATAGATTAATTTCATTCTTCATTTGCCTTAGTACAATAAGTTTATCATTGTTTAGCTTACTTTGGTGCTGGTTCTGGCTCTAGATATGATGGATCATCTTAGCTGCTCAAGGTTGAGTTGAATTGACACTAAATAATATTTACTGCAAAATTTTCTTTAAAAAAAATAGATGCAAAAAATGCAAATAGTTCCATTAAAGTCCTATTTACTTTTCTCCTGTGGCTAATGGACATAGCTATTCCCATTGATGAATCATTTTCCCTTCCTTTCTACACAATCACTACTAGACAATTAGCTATTAAAACCATTTTGAGGAAATATTTATTGTTACTCAAGCCTAGCTTTGAAGTATTTTGGGCAGATGCAATAGTTAAAAGAGAAGAGGCTTAAACGGAGGATCTCCATCTTCTAACAATGGCTTTTTGTAATTGAATCAGTCTTTATGAAGCAGAAGTTATGTTAGTCGTAAAATGAGAGAGCAACACACAGAAGAACCTATTCTACTATGAAATGATGAGCTTGATTCAATAATCCATTCACCCCAGACTCCTCATCAAATATTTTAAGAACTTGAGGGCAGAAAGTTGTCATTTGTGGTCTGGAAAGGTTTGAGTTCATATTCTAGAAGATTCCCAAGTCAATACTAGTAGAAGCATGAAATGAAGACTTGTTAACCCTTTGAAGACCTTTTGGTTTAGGGATGAAATTGAGAATGGCAATAAATTTGGGAAAAAGTAACACCTCAGTCACTCAGTGTCCAGGGCAGGGGTGAGGAACTTGGAGCCTCGAGAGCACATGTGGCCCTGTAGGTCCTCAAGTGTGGCCCTTTAATGGAATCCAAGCTTGTTTGTTCTGTGAAGTTTGGATTCAGTCAAAGGGCTGTACTTGAGGACCTAGGGGACCATATGTGGCCTCAAAGCCATAAGTTTCCCACCCCCGGTCCAGGGGATTACACTGAACTGAAAGGCAGAAGGACTAGATTCTTGTCCTGGCGCACAGTAAGCACTAAATGAATGTTTATTATCTCGCCTTGTCTCTGCCTCTTAGTGTTCATATAATTTGAAGCAACTTCCTTAAATTATCAAAGTCTTGGTTTCTTCCTCTTTAAAAAAAAGAAAGAAAAGAAACGAAGATCAACGTATCCCTACATTTCCAACTTCACAGGGTTGTTATGTCAATTGAGATAATGTAGGTAAAAGGTTTTTTTTTCTAACAAAGCATTATACAAAAGTGAGGTAGTACAATTATTTTTCAACTCAGGGCTTTCTTTAGTGATTGCGAAAATTATGTTTCTAAGATCTTAATCAGCCTCAAAAGTTCTGTGTTGTGTGTGTGTGTGTTTTTTTAAAGCTACTGAAGTTTAAATGTATTAGTCAAGACTAAGAAAAATGAATTACATAGATGTAACCCCCTCACAAAACAAAACAAAATTTTACCAATCTTTGGTAGAAGCAAAGAAAAATGTATTTCTTAATTCAAGTTCAAGTTCATCATGTTTATTCATGATGTTGAGGAAAGGGGAAGGGTAGAGGAATAATTATATAGCTTGTACTATGTATCAGGCATTATGCTAAGAGTTTTACAAAAATCAACTCATTTGATCTTCATAACCACACTGTGAAGTAGAGTTTTTATTAACTCCATTTTGCAGATGAGGAAACTGAGGCAAGCAGAGATTAAGTGTCTCACCCAGAATCACACAGTCAGTAAGTGTCTGCAGTTGTGTTTGAACCCGGGTCTTCCTGACCCTGGGCCCAAGGCTCTGTCTCCTGTACCATCTAGCACACAGCTGCAGGCTCCAACAATAAAAATAAAGGGTGGGCCTGAGCGTACTGGATGGGAAATGGATAGTCCTTCCCCTTTTCCACCATTCCTGTGCAAGAGAAAACGTAAAGGATATAGGAGAAAAGAAGAGGTAACACTCAAGCCCGCTCAGCTTGCAGCCTCCCCTTGGCTTTTGTAGGAACCATCCCTAAATAATCAGGGCCCTCCCAGAAGAGAAAATATTTTCTTCCCCTATTGCGAACATGCATTACCCAACAAGCCTCTGGGCTTCCTGGAATTTTGTTGAACATACTGGCAATAATCTCCAAAAGCAGAATTCCAAGCAATAAAATGTCCTTTGGGAGAAGTTGATACAGCTGAGCACTTGGTGTCTATTGAGGGAAGACTGTCTTTGAGAAATTAAAATTAATGGGGAGTCATTAATTTGGTGTCCGTAGTATAGTGGGAAAAAAAACACTGGACTGAGAGTCAGGTGACCTAGCTTTCAATTTTGTCTCTGCCACTAACTAATTTCATGACTTTTAATGAATCACTTAATTTTTTCTGAATTTCAGCTAATCACTCCAAGCCTTTTGAGTGTGTTGCTTTTTTAATGGTCTTTAATGGTCTGAGGTCAAATTTGAACTCAGGAAGATGAGTCTTCCTGACTTGAGAACCAGCACTCTGTGTTCTATGGCGCCACCTAGCAGCCCATTTAGTTATTACATGCCCCTATTTTGAGATTTTGCTCCCTCCTGACCACCTTCTCTTTCTTAGATGGCCAGGTGGTACTGTTGGATAAAGGGCTGGGCCTCTAGCCAGGACAGCCAGAGTTCAGATTTGGCCTCAGATACTTACTAGCTGTGTGACCTTGGGCAAGTCACAACCTCTGCCTCAGTTTCGTCATCTGTAAAATGATAATGGCACCTATTGTTGTGAGGATCAATTGAGATATTTGTAAAAAGTGCTTAGCACAGTGCCTGGCATATAGCAGATGCTCAATAAATGCTTATTCTCTTCCACCTTCTTAAAATCCTTCAAGTCTCTGTTTAGGTCCTGGAGTCTTTCCTAATTATCTCAGTGGTAATTGCTGTGTTCCTCCTAAAATTACTTTGTCTTTACTAGCATCTGTGTTGTATCTCCCTAGAAGAGTGTTAGTTTATCTGAGGGTAAAGACTATTTTGTTTTTGTCTTTGAATTCTCTTGGACTCATCACAGTGCTTAATAATGCTTTTTTGAGTTAAATTGATAGTGAACCTGCCTTAGGACTAAAATTTCTGGGTTTCTGTTACCCATTATAGCCATGGGAATTAGTTATAATTTTTACTCAGCTTTCCTTAGCATACTATATAAACTCTTACATATACAAATAAATATAGTACTGATTATAATATAATTAGTATTTAAGAATATGAAATATTATGAGGTCAAATGGAGATCCCTAACTGGAATACTGATTTTATTTTAACCCTTTTTGATAGCTAGATTTCCAAAATATATCACATATTTTCCTGCCTTAGTATACAAAGTAAATTAAATATAATTAACCTTTTCTTGATAACCTAAGGTCATTATGATCTCTTATAATCTATGGATTTGGGTGATTTTGAATTTAATTTGTATTAAGCCTAGTCAAAGCTGTGGATCTTAGGCTTCTCTTATTTTGCATTATAATTACAGAGTATTACGCATTTCTGTTTGCCATTAACAACTTGCTCAACTTTAAATTCCTCAAGAGCAAGGACCATGTCTTAATTATATTTGACTCCCTTTCATACATAGCAAAGTGATTCCTACACAGCATATCCTTGAAAAATAGTTGATGTGAACTAATTCTTAGCCAGAATTTTTTCCTTTATTATTCTAAACATAAAAGCATCATCAAAAGAGCATTTCTGTATACATGTACACATATTTCCATTTTCATTTCCACATACACAAATTTTTGCAGACTTCCATAATTCACAAAAAGAATATTCTATATCAAACCATCATGAATCTCCATTTTATACTACTTACTTTAAAAAAAAAAAGTATATAACCAATTCTGCCCCTTACTTGCAAATTATATTGTAAGTACTTCTCATATTACCTTCAGTTCTCTTTTGTGCATTTAAAACATTGTTACGATGGCCTTCTTTTTTGAGGGTGAGGGCAGCCCTCTTGCTTAGCAAGAATTTTTACCGTCCTGTCCCTTCACCAAATAGCCAAGTTTTTACTGTAGAGATGGACTATTATATTGGAAGGAATGCCAAATTTGAATTCAGAAAGCCTACGTTGGAATACCAGTGCTGAGACTTATACTCGTTTTCCTCAGTGAACCTGAGCAGAGTCACTGCCTCTGTGGAGTTTTCCTCATCTGCAGAAAAGACGAGTTTCTATCATGTGTAAGGCCCATTCCAGCTCTAAGTCTTATGAATTTGCTTTCTTAATGAAATCCAGATTTCTGGTTCATTTTTTCATTTGTCTTGCTGATGAGACTGAGGAACATGTATATTCCTGACTTC